TTTTCTTTTTTCTTGAGATGGTCTTGCTAAATCCCTATGGTGCCCAGACTGGGCTCAAACTTGTGAGCCTCCTACCTCAGCCTCCCAGAGGCCTGCAATCAGGCATGCACCATACTCCACTCCTTTTCATGATCTCCTGGTGATTAACTTCAAGGGAGGAGAGGCACCTGTCAGGACCAGCGCAACCCTTTGTCTGATGTCTGTCCACCAGGCCTGGATTTTTGCTGGTGCTGGTTCCTGACAGATCACAGTCACAGAGACAGAGATACCTGCTCTTTTTTGCAGCACTGAGGATTAAACCCATGGCCAAGTGCATGCTGGACAAGTGCTGTGCCACTGAGCCACATCACTGCCCTTTTATTTTATATTGAGGCAGGGTCTCACCAAGTGGCCCAGGCTGGTTGGACTTGGCAGTCCTCCTGCCTCAGCCTCTCAAGTAGCTTGCATTGCAGGTATCTCTTGTCTAAGGAATCCCGGCTAGGAGTTAGTGGCCCTGGGAACATCAGTTTTCTAATGGAAATGAGAATGCCAGTGCTGTGCCTCCTCTGCCCTCTTCCATGCTCTGCTGGTTCCATCCAGACCCACACATGGACCTCACTTGCCAGCCAGTGTATAGCCTGGGGACCCGGCAGGGTCTTCCGCTCACAGAACCTCAGTGCCTGGCTTCGCTGTGGCACCGCAGCCTGCCCCACCCACCATGCAGTTGCTGCAATCTCCCCTCCCTGGTTGCTGGGAGCCTGTTGTGTGGTGGACGGCATCACAGTGCAGTCCACTGTCTTGTGTGCTGTCCACTGCCCTTTGTCTGCTGGACACTGTCCACTGCCCAGTGCATGCTGCCCGCTGTCTTTGGCACCCAGTGACATCATTCTAGCGTGGTCCCAGTTCTTCATCCTGGGAGGCCCTGTGGTCACTCACGCCTGCCTGTGCCCCGGGAGATCATGTAGCTTAGACACACATCACAGCATGCCACACAGTGAGGCCCATGTCCCTGTCCCTGTGCACATGTTGGGAAGCCTGAGAGGAGGGAGACAGGTCCACATGCACCCACTATTTCGATGGACAGCAAGGCCATGGGCTGCACAGTCCCCACCCCGCTGCCTGGGTTGGGCTGAGTGGGGTTGGCTCGGACCCGTTCCCCACAGAGACCTGGTCAGGTAGTGTCCAGGGAGAGTCCCAATGCCAGGGCCCTGGACCCCCAGTGGGGACCCTAGTCCTCAGGAAGGTAGAGACAAGGCTATGTGTCCATCTCTTCCAGGAAGGCTGGGCACCAACATCTTACCTACTCCCTGGTTAGAGTAGCCCCTCACACCTGAGCCCCCCAGGGCCTGGGTAAAGGACACTGGATGGGTCTTGTCCTGCTGCCTGGGAGGGTGGAGGGCCTGCTGCCTGGGGACTGTCTCCCATGACCTGTCACCAGCGGTGGCTGATGTCACCCCATTGTCCCTCCAAGGGCCTGGCCATGTCTGGCCACAGCTCTGACTGAGGGGCAGGGAAAGTGAACCAGGCTGATGTCATTAAAAAGTAGAAATAGTAGTTTTAAATTTCTATTCCTAAAAACTCGTGTTTTCTTTTGCAGGGGGATTGAAGTTAGGGACTTTGCACTGAACTACAGCCTCAGCCTCTTTTTAAAAATTTGAGACAGGGTCTCCCTAAGTTGCTAAGTTCACTGGGCTTGGCTGGAACTTTCAATCCTCCTGTCTCAGCCTCCCAGATTGTGAGATGACAGACCTGTTCCACCTAACCAAGCTCTGAGGAATCTATTTAAGGGAATAGAGTGGTCATTTCTGTTGGGGTTTTTCCTCCTAGCCACACTGAGGCGTGTGTCACCCAGGCTGTGTGGCCAGAAGGCAGTCAGGGCTTTACAAGTCCAAATGAGTCTTTGACCCCTTTTGAGTTCATTGCAGACCCTTCTGGAAACCCTGACCATGATATAAAGTGATTGCTTCTTATTGGCAGCCATGTGGTACTTGGTTTTGCTCCACATTTATACATGGAGGGACACAGATGCTGAAGTGTAAATTAACAACATACAAAGGAGACTCTTTTTACAGATTTGCCTCCCCACTCATCTCCTGATGCAACTAATTTGCTTTATGTAATAAAAATGTTACCTTTCTTATCTCCATGTCCCTAGCATACAAATACAGGTTGAAACAAAGTAGCTCTCTGAACTCCCCTTCTGTGTCACTGGGAAGCACAGCCAGAAAGGTACTGGGACTCCTCAGCACAGAGGCCCTGACTTTAATCCCCAGGACCTGATATATTGAAAAGAAAACCTGCCAGTGTTTCTTAAAGCTAAATAACCAGAAGTTACAAATTCGGTTCATAAGGACAGCTTTTGCCTATAATACAGAGTTAAAGTTCTAAGTTGTCATATACATTTGGTTTCCATATAGAAAATGAAATGATTTATTATTTTTGTGATTAATTGCCCACATATAAGGTAGCTGTCACCAAATTGAAATACTTTGACAGGACACATCACTATTTACTTATAACATAAAATTATCTTGCTTTTGAATTAATACTGTAGATATCATACCAACCCAAAAAGGCTGGTACAGTAATAGATTACTATGAAAGGGATATTGAGTCCTCCCCGCCGGTAAAGGGAAGCATGGGCAGGCAGAGTTTCCTCTGATTCTTGCTTCTGTTGGAGAATTCAGATGGGTTTTCCTGTGAGGCTGCAGTCGTGGAATGGCTGTGTCTGTGGGAGGTGTCTGTGGGTGTCTACTTGCCTGCAGTCAGAACTCCGCGTGGCCATGCTGACCGTCCACCAGATTTAGCTGAGCCAGGCAGGGTGGAGGGAAGGCAGACCCACGCTTCCACCCTGCCCGCCTTGCCCTGGCACATCTGGCTTCTGGTGCAGGAAGGTGGGGATGCGCAGTGGCCCTTGGTGGTGGCCCTGTGTTCTCTGCATGTCATGTTTTGGTCTTTGGATGGAGTTGAGTCCTGTCCCTGTGTGCAGGGGCAGCAGCCACACCTCACCCTTGGGAGCAAAGGTGAGACCTGCTGGCCCTGCCCGTGGGCCCAGTGTTGGGTAGCCCTGCCCTCTGCTGTGTAGCCACCTGACCTTCCTGCTGGGCCCTCAAACCGGGGCCGTGGGGTACAAATGCCGCTGTGCTGGTCTTGGAAACCGAACCAGAAGCAGGGATGGGAGAGGACAGGGACCCTAAAGAGGGTGAGAATCAGCCAGGGTCCCTGCAGGGGCTTCCTCCAGCAGAACGAGCCGGGCGCTGGGGGTGTCAGGCCTCTGTCGTGTCACCACCCTCAGAGGCAGCCATGCTGGATACTGGAGTTGATGGGCCTGAGAAGGGAGCTGGGCCCCCACCCACTGGCAGGCCTCTTTGATGCCTGCATTCACCTGGGGATGTGGCGCCTGGATGGGCGTTCAGTTCCTCACTCAGGTTGGAGTCGGGAAGGACCCGGGGCCCTTCTCATGCCTTTCCACAGCTCACCTGTGTCCTGCTCGCCCCATGGCTGCTACATTTCCCTGGACCCAGCTCAGCATGCAGTTGAAGGCATCCGGTTCCTCTTGCCTTCTTTATTGCCCTGTATTTTGTTTTGAGCTTGGCAACACCTGGCAACCGAGCTGAGCACAGCTGGCCCCACCCTCAGAGGGATGCTGTCCCTTTGATCAGAGTCAGTGACTTCTTCTGCCACCTAGGGGTACCGGCCCCTCCCTGGCTGCCGTCCTGGTGGTAGAAGGAGACCCAGTGTCCGAGCGTCGAAGGCACAGGTGTTCCGTGCATACTCTCATATATGAGAGTCCTTCACCGAGCTGGGGACAGCACTCCCTGTGCCAAGCACCTTTGTGAGCACTATAAAATGTTCTGTAATTGCCAGAGAGGTGTTCAGTGACATTGGGATTGTGTCAGGAAGGGCGATAGAATCCAACAGGACCGGTTGGGCCGGTTCCCTCTCCCAGGCCCTGTTGTCACCCACCTCATTTACTGCCAGGCTGACAGAAGCAGAGCCAGGGAGCCCCACAGCCACACCAGGGCTCGGCCTTTGGGGTTCTGAGGTTCCCACACGCGCGCTGATTCCTGGGCTGCTCGGTGCACCTGGGTGAGAGGAGCCTACACCAGCCATGCCACAAGCAACCTTTCCTTCTTGTCCGCAAAGAACTTGAGGATGGGTGGCATTAGGGACGCCGGCCCAGCCAGGCTCTGTCATCCGCTTTCTCTCCCTCGACTCCATGTTGCCTGTCACAGACCGGGCTGCGGCGTCCGGCTGGGCTCTCTCCAGGGGAGGGCTGGCAGCACGAATTAGGACAAGAGTATTCAGGTCAGGGCAGGCTGCCAAGGGGCCAGCGGGTGGGCAATTCCAAGGGAGAAATTGTGCAGTTGGAGTGAGAGTGGGGTTTGAGTGAGGCTTTGAGGACATGGGAAGGGGGCTCAGCAGCACAGGCGGTTACCTAAGAATGCCTTTCCTTGCTGCCCAGCCCCTTGCAGGCCTCTTGAGTGCCTGTATGGAGTTTAAAGTTCTCATTCGCAGTTGGTTTTAGCAGGGCCCCTTCCTTTTGGCTGAAGAGGTGATGGAGGGAGGCTGTGCATGGTAGGCAGGGAGGCAGTGGGAGGGGACTCGCTTGGAGGACACACACACACAGCAGCCTGTGCTGCCACAGTTCTGAGTCCCTTTGTTGCTGGAAGGCTCTGACCAGAGTGTGGTGTCCAGGTTTTGTCCTTGCTTCTAACAGGTGGCGCTACGGGGCCTACCTCGGGCTGTGTTCTGCAGCAGCTCAGGCCCTGGAGCAGGAGCGAAGTGAGACTGGAAATCCTTCTGCCCTCCTCTTCCTGCTGCCCAGGGTGCATGGGACATGCGGGTTGGTGGACTCAGGAGCCAGGTGGTGCGGGAGAGCAGGAGGCCAGCTCTGTCCACACTCTGACCGCCTGCCTGCCCCTCTCAGCCCCACATCCACTGGCAGAGCCTGGAGGTCCGGGGTATTAGTGTTGTGTTGTGGCACTGTCCGCTGAGCAGATATGGGACTTGCTTCCTGGTCCCTCTGAAAGTCCAGCCCGTTCTGTGCGCTGTGGTGAATGCATCAGTAGAGTTAGCCTGGAGCCCTGGCTCTGCCCTGGTCTGGGAGAGACTTTGGGCTATAGCCTGCGGTAGCCGGGGAAGCGGAGGGGGGGCAGGGGGGCGGGAGTGTCCCCAGATCATTAGTGCCAGTGGGTAATGAAGCTTCTCCCTGATCTCCTGTCAACTGTTAGCCTGTGGCGACCTTCCTGGGTTCTGGAGGCCTCGTAGCTGCTTCTGTTTCCAGCCATCCGTGTGGTGCTGGCAGCTGCCCTCTGCCCTGAAGTTCCCTTGTGGGTGAAGGTCATGCACACCTGCCCGTGAGAAGGCCTCGAGGCCAGAGGGAGTCCTGGGAGATGCAGTGGACCGGACTCCCACAGGGGCACCATGGAATCACTATTTCCCAGCAGATTCTGGCTTCTCATAAAAGCCAGGCCCAGGCAGTGTGGGCCTGGCCTCTCCAGCCAGTGATGTGAGCACTGCAGGGCCCGGCAGTGGCTTTTAACTCACAGAGGCCTGCCTGTGCCTTGCACGCTCACTTCCTAGAGCTGGTGGGGGTGCTGTGGGGACTGCAGAGTGGCCCACCCTGCCAGGTCTCGGCCCTGTCGGCCTGTTGTTCCCCACGTGTCTGGAGAGCAAGGTACTGATTTGTTCCTGTCAGATAAGAAGTTGGGTGACCCAGACGCAGTTTCAAGGACCAGAATTGGAGTGAACCACCCAGGAACCTACGGCAGCTGCCACAGTGAGAGCCAAGCCAGTGCTGCTCTCCAGCACTTACCTCAGAAACCCTCCTCAGCCACCCAAGTGTGGAGCAGGAAGGAAAAGAGCTGCGGCCTCTGGGGAGGAGGAGGCCCTGCTATCACCACTCAGCCACGCCATCAGTCCCCGGAAAGTGAGCTCCAGTTCTTGCAGGTGCTCAGGGACAGTTGCAGGCCTGGAGTCATCCTGCCTGCCAGCTCTGGTGGTCACCACGTGTCACCTCTGAGACAGCACACACCTGGCTCCCAGTGGCGGCAGGACCTGCGTGAAGCTGGTCTCTGCAGGAGGGCTTCCCAGGGTCCACCCTGGTGGCCATGCCTCTGGGAAGGGAGAGCTTCTCCCATATGGAGAGCCATCCCGTGAGAGCAAAGGCTGTGGGCCTCACAGCCGCGCTTCTCATGTTGCTAGGGTTCCCTCATCTGGCCATTCAGACCTTTACTGCACACGATGCATGGCCATTTGACTTCTCCCAGAAAGTGATACGTAGAGACCACAGGCCAGCGGGTTCCCTGGACCAAGCAGCGCCCCACATCTTCCAGGTGTCACCCACTTGATCTTTACAACAGCTGCGTGAGCCGCCAGCGTGACCCCTCGTTTAATGCCGTTATACATTTTCGGTGTTTATTTGTGAGCAAACGGATCTGGCATGTTCTAAATAGCAAGGTCAGAGGTAGAAAAAAATATTCAGATACATTCAGGCTTCATAGGACTCCTGTTATTTAGTTTCTTATTAGCAGTTTTAAGAAACACATATTTGGATCACAGCTTGACTAAGTACTTTTTAACTCAGTGGGGAGGGATACATAGAGGTTGAACTGCGTTATACAATGTGACTTTTTAAATAAAGTTTGGAGCCTTTGTATATTAACCAAGGAGCTAGACACCAGCAGATCAACTGGTGTGCTGACACCTGAGCAGAGAGTGAGGAAATGTAGAACAGAATGGATTCCGCAATCCACAGCTGGTGTTCCCACCACACACAGCCCCCTTTGTGGGTCAGCTGGTAGCCACAGGCTTAGCAATTACTCCCTCTCAACTGGGGGACTCAGAAGAACATTGCAGAATCCTCTCCAGAGAAATCTCAGTACTCAGCTGTTCTAGCCTTTGATCTAGAAGCAAGTTGGAGAGTGATCTGGTTTCCTCAAAGAAGATGGAAAAGGAACGGCAGAGAAAGAAGGCGGATACAGAGTAGTGTGAGGGTATTACAAGGATTTTGTTTGAAATGTGGCCAGTTGATTTGTTTAGGTCTTGTTCAATTTAGCTCACATTGTTAATTAGATGTTGAAGTTTTGTGTATTTGCTGCAAGCAAATACTGTTTTTTTCCTGCATGGTTTGTGTTTGGTGCCCACCTGAGCCCCAGACATCCGTAATTCTATAGTGGCAGGACTGTAGTCTAATTGCCAGAAATTTTACACCTCTCAGAGGTGTACTCATGGTTTCACCTCATCTTCTAATTATACTTTGCATTAGCCACAAAGATGAAGGGGAAAGATTGTTATTATCAGACACAAAGTAGTTCTGGTAGTAATTGTCACATGCACAGGAAATTGTTGGTTCTGTGTGTGTGTTACCTTTTGGGCAAGAAATATGGAAAAATGGGATTAAATATATATTTGCTTGCTTTTGAAGTAAGACAAAAACCAAAAATGAAAAATAAGAATGAGTGGGGTCTGTGGGAAAGGGGTACATAACATCAAAATAGGAGGAAGAGGTCTCTGAACACCCTGTACAACAGAGGTGATTTTGAGCTTCACAGTGTTTTACATACTCAGAAGATAAGATCACATCAAAATTGGAAAAAGGAAATCCTAAAGGTGAAAACCACAGAAACATGTAAGCCTCAGTATACAAAGTTGAAAATGCAACTGAGAATATTCCTCTAAACAACTGCAGCAACGTCTTCCACAGCACTTAGTGCCCTGATCCCAAAAGTCACATGAGAACACATGAGGCCAGTAGCCAAAACAATCTTGAGAAAAAACAAAGTTCAAGCACTCACACTTTTTGATTTCAAAACTTACTACAAAGCTAGAGTAAACAAGAGAGTGTGTAGAGACATAAAGATAGACTAAGGACAGTGGCACAGAATTGAGAGACCAGAAATAGACCCTTGTACTTAGGGAGTTGGTTTTCATAAACAGTCTCAAGTCCATGCAATGGGGGCAAAAATAGGCTTTCCAACAAATGGTGCCGGGACAGCTGAACATCCACGTGCAAAAGGACAAAGGTGGACTCCTTTGGCGCCAAGCCAAAGAATCAACATCACATGGCCATAGGCCATAATCCAAGAGCTAAAATGATAGAACTCTTAGAAAAACAGAAATGAGCTTTTGTGATCTTGAGTGAGGGAAGGCCTTTTTAGAACCACACCTGACAAAAGAAAATTTGGATAGACTGAAATTCATAAAACTAAAAACTTCTGTTCTTCAGAGAACACCATCCAGAAAGGCCAAAATAACTGATAGAATTGACTAAGATACTTTGATATTATTTATACAATAAGGATTTGAGTCTATGCAGAACTCTTAGAACTCCATTGTAAGAAGACAACCCAATGGGAAAATGGCCAAAGTATTTCTGCTGATATTTGTCCAAAAAAAAAAAAAATCCAAATAGCCAATAAACACATGAAAAATGCTCAAAATCATTGGTGACTAAAGAAATGCAAATGAAAACCATGTGCAATGCCCTTGCAAATTCAGTCATAAGGAAGACAATAACAAATGTTGGCAGGCAATGTTGGAGGAGCCCTTGCACACTGTGAAAAGATAACGATCACTTTGCAGGCACTTGATAGCTCCTCAAAATACTAAACCCTGATTGACCAGAGCACAGCTACTTCTCTCCTAGGCCAAAGCACAAAGCAGCTTGCATCCACTGTACAAAACACCGATGGCAGTAGCGTTCACCGTGACTGAAAAATGGACACAATGAAAATGTCCATCACCAGTTGAATGGCTAAATGCAATGTGGCCTTTCTACCTATTGGAGTATCATACAGAAGTAAAGAAGATGAAGTACAGTATATGCTCTAACATTGTGGGTGCACCTAGCAAACCATATGCTCAGTGGAAGAAACCAGTCACAAAGGCCACATACTGTATGACTGCATATATAAGAAACATCTACATAAATCCAGGAGTACAGTGCAAGTCCCTGAGTGTTCAGGAATGCTCAGAGAGAGCATTTCTTGGAGGAGAAAGGAGAGTGGCTGTTTGTAGAGTCAGGTTTTGAGGGGGATAAAAATTGGTGGTGGTTACAGTTGCACACCTGTGTGAATGTGAGAAACACCATTGAATTGTATGTCAATAGGTAAATTACATGGTAAATTTATCTCAGTAAAGCTTTATAATTGTGTTTGTGTGTGTTTTGAGACTGGATCTCACTGTGCAGTTTAGGCTGGTCTTAAATTCACTGTGTAGTCCAAGCTGGCCTCAACCTCACAGTGATCCTCCTGCCTCAGCCGCTCAAGCTGGGACTAGTAGATGTGTGCCACCATGCCCGACTAAATAAAGCTGTTTTAAAAATCAGTGTCATAAACAAAAGTAAAAAAATATGGGGTGAATGTGCTAGTTTAGAGGAGATCCAGCAGGGAAATGCAATGCATGAACTTTTGTTATAGCCTTAATTTTAAAGTAGCTCTAAAATATAATTTAGGGACAACTGGGGACACTTGAGTTTCGGTTAGATATTAAATGATATTTTCCTAGGTAAGATAAAGGTAATGAGTTTACACAGGAAACCATCCTTAGGAAATGCTTCATAAAGTATTTTAGGGTGTACTACCATTTATTTTCTCGGCAACTGACTTTCAAATTATTCAAAAACCAAACGTGTATATTTGTGTGTGTGTGAGTGTGCATACAGAAACACAAGTATATAAGAAAGAGAAAGTGCATCTTGGTGTAATTTGAGGTTGTCGATTAATCTAGTCTTTCAACATTTTTATAGGCTTGAAGATTTCAGTTGCTTTACTCTATTGTTTGTATGGAATCCAGCAGGTGTTTGTTCATTTCATGCTGTGTGCCTGGTGCTTAATCTGTGTA